TTTTTTTTTTTTTACCTTAAACCGCATAAACACATTTCATTACACCAAATACACAAAATAATGTTCTTTTTAGCAGCATCATATGACACCTTTAAATCCTTATAGTGCATGCATGGCAGTTGAGTGCTGTATTATATCAGCAAAGAGTGAACGAAATTAAAGGAGGATCCGTTTGCAGTGCAGTCCGTGTGCGGTTCGTAGCCTATGCGCTCAGTGTGCTTGCTCAGTGCACTATGATCCGCGGCTAATACCACCATTAGCCTATTTTGATTTCAAATTTGAACGTGGTTACTAATTTTTTTTCTCTCTCAGCATAATGATTATCTTTTCACACAGTAATACTATCTTTCATAGACATTCATGTTTAAAAGCAATATTATTAATTTTACTTCTGTACTTAATTATTTAAGTTTATGTATTACGATGCTCAAGCAAGTGGCAAAACATGTAAACACAGCCTACAGTCAACGTTTCTTACGTTAGAAGGTAGTAGGCTATCACAATTTTAAATTAAAACTTACCATTGACAGAAACAGTAGACTAACCATGTTCCGTACAGATGACGTTTTAGCGCCGATCGCTGAATAAATACTTCCAGGTCGTGCATAAACTATATATCTGTGTCATCCTTATTTCTCCCTCTTTCACCCCCGACCAAGACAGAGACCCACCCGCCGTTCGTTTCAGTGAGATTTCAGTAAGTTTGCTAGGTGTCTTGAAAATGGACGGTGGGCAAGCTACACTTCAAGACTGCAGCTTGGGTGGGGAGACTACTAGAGCAGCGAAAATGTACATTTCTATTTAATTCATGTTTCTCACAGTACTACAGCCTTTATGAAATGAATATTATGTTATCACAAACTGTTAAATATATTACCTTTTGTTGAAAAATGCTTTGAAATGGGAATTTTTAAACTTCGATTGCGGGCGATGACCACTTAGCGCCACTCTCACCTGAGACAGGCAGCAGAGAGGCAGCACAGACGCCGTTTGCCCATCATCCGTTTATATTCATATTGTCTTCAGAAAGATATGGAAATGTTATTCACTAACGTTTCACGTGGTTCATGCTTAACTCACATGCCATAATTAATATCATGACACAATCATGCCTAACTCGCATGGTCCTTTATTAAAGCAGCAATTAACTTACATTTTAATCAAATAAAAAGGTACTAATCTTTCTTATTAATTTAAATCATGTTTTCTACAGTTAAAATAAATAAACAGCTCACAGTTGATCAGTTAAATGTCCATTTTCGCCGATAAAATTAAGTTATGCGCGCTGTACGGAACACCATTTATAAGCCTGTACCGTTAAACCGTATCATTTTCCGTACACTGCCGGAGGAGGTACTTTTCCCCACTTTTCTCAAAAACTATTGGTCCTAAAGACATCAATCAAAGTGTGGCCTGTATAATGGGTATTCCCCCAGAAAATGATCACACAAACTTGCTTGTTTCTTTCAATAACGGAGGAGTGGTCGCTGGCGTGAGGCGAATAACGAAAAGTGTACGGAACATGGTTAGTCTACGTTAACGGTTTTCTATGGAAGTAAACCGTTTAATTAACATGTAATTTAGCATGTTTGCGTATATATTCTGGGCTCAGCTGCTTGCCTGTAGGCTACATATTATATTTTATTAACAAACTGTATACCGAATTTGGTCTTTTTATATCATTGTCTTCCTCCATTACGCCATATTAAATATTTTTTATAATGGTTATCAATGTAGGAAATTAAATTCAGCGTGTTGCGTTCATATTCTGGGTTCATCTGCTTACCTGTACATACATAGTATATATTTTTACCGAATTTGGCCTTTTCATATCACCGTCGTCATCCAATAAGCCACTTACTGTAAACTTTTCTTTATAAGGGTTTTCTATGGGAGGAAGATGCATAATGTGAGTACTTTGAGCGATACCAAGTAAATACAGGGCCAGTATCGCCGATATACTTAAAAGATACTTTTTTCCTTTTAAAAACATACATTTAAATGACCAATTACACTTTGAAAATTAACAATAACTAATGTTGATATGACTAAAATATTAAATTCACCTTAAAGCTACGTGGATATTATTTGCCTTTCTAAGAGGAGCCTAGAACATGACAGCAATGTGCAGTTTCATGTTAAGCATTTTCCTCCCATAGAAGAGTTATAAAGAAAAAAAATTTACGTGGCTTAATACATTAAAAGTAATATTAAAAGACAAAACTCAGTATACACCTTATTAATGTTGCAAACTAGATATACAAGTATGCAGATGGCAAGAATTTGAAAGCAACACTCAAAAATATTCACATTATGCATCTTCCTCCCATAGAAAACCCTTATAAAGTAAAGTTTACCGTAAGTGGCTTATTGGATGAAGAAAAGTCGTAATATGAAAAGGCCAAATTCGGTAAAAATATAGACTATTGCATGTACAGGTAAGCAGATGAACATATTTAAATATTGCAGGTTTGTATAATATTCTGAGTTTGCATTTGACTGTTTTTATTCATTCTGAGGAATACTGAATCTGTTTTTGTGAGTGAGATGAGTCTAGAACTACAGTAACATCACGCCTCTGCACTTACTCCCGATTTCTCTCAACATGGCAACACGAGAGCTGTCAGTCAAGACATGGGAAACAAAGTAACTGGGGTTACTTATTTGAAAAAGTAACTCATTAAAAGGTAATGCGTTACTTTACTAGTTACTTTTAAAACGTAATCTGATTACGCAATTCACGCTACTTGTAACGCGTTACCCCCAACACTGCCTTCAATTCCACAAAATGCTATTTATACAGGCAGCTTGCTAGGTTGAGACACAGTGATGTTACGGATTACATCCGTTCCTTTTAATATACCATCACACATATCAGTTCTCCAAAATGGACAAAAACATAAATTTCCTTTAATCCAAAAGTTCAGAACAAATTAAGAACCACACTTGTTAAGTAATGGTACTTTCTGACAAATCTCACTGGTTGCAAGCAATAAGTGGTTGTGAAACATGAAACTTCAGCTGCAAAAACACAAAGTCCTGTTTGAAATCTGACATTTAATTGTCAATGTTGTTTGCACATGTTCCTTGTCAACCCCTTTCAGTTCAGACAGAGACTTGTCATTGGACAAGTGAATCACTGAGGTGTTACAGCAAATCTGCATTATGTCCATGTAGCAGCACTTCATTAATCACAGTCCAGTAACATGGATTATTACTTGGGAATATAGTGTTAACCCAGTGTGATATTTCATTGATAAACATTTGCTGGAGTCCAGTGCCCAATTATGATGTGTACATGTGCACTGATGACCTCTTCCAACCGGCAGGGCAATGTGGGGCAGTGGGAACTCATGCAGTTTTTATAGATGAATAAATTCAGTCTCGTTCCTAGAGTTGGAGGTACAAGGTATATCTTAAAATAAAAGAGTAGCCCATCTTCCAAAGGTCCACCAGGTCAAGAATGAAACTCTGCACAAAATGAGAAAAGTAATGTTAAGTTCTGAACATATTCCGTTTAAAAGAAGCTGTTTTTTGAACATTTGTAAAGCTCAACCACAAACAACATTAAAAATACCTACAGAACATCTTAAGGCAAGACACACCGGGTGAATATGATTTTAAAAAATGAACTAATAGATTAACATACTGACCAAACAGTTTCTTTTTTTTTTTTTTTAAGTTTTCTAAAATGTTAAGTTTAAATATGCAACTGAGGCAATGTCTAATTAAATATGCACAAATTTGCATACATTTCCAGAACATAAATCTGAAAATTGTATCCTTCAGTTGGCCTATTAAAAGATTTAAAAAGGGGATTTTGGATATGAATTTATCACTACATAATTTAGAAAATACTGACAACTTTCTGTTAAAATTTAAGGAATAAAATATTGTATAAAGTCAAGCAAATGATACATGAACAAACCACTCTGTAAACACCGTCAGAATATAGATAATACAACTCTAAAGTTTGGCTTATGTTAGCACTACTGAAGAGATGATTTTCAACAAAAAATAAATAATAATAATTTTGAGAAAAAGGCCTATAAAGATAGGCAGTGGCTATTAGCACTAAGTGTAAATAGCTATAGAGGCTATTTACTAGGGCTGCACGATTAATCGAATGCGATTGTCATGTGCATTTTGTCAGTAAAGCCGGTTCTGTAATCAGCAGTAAATCTCCATCACATGCTTTCAGATGGAGCAGCATTTACTACACAGAGCCGTAGTTCACTGACAAGTTACGGGAAAAAAAAAAAAATTGCACACTATATTATTGCGTGATTATGAAATCGAAGAAATCGATAATGACAGCTGTTTGCGTAGCTTCTCAGTGACCTATGGCTCTGTGAAGTAAATGCTGCTCCATGTGAACAAAATTATAATAATAAGAACTCAGATAAACCATATATTGTCGTAGTCGTGTTTATTAGTTACTCTGAATCAATGAAAGCAGTTAAATCTTCTGTTTATTCAGCTATGGCTATAGGGATTTCCTGGATTTTTTTCTGCAGGGTGTATTTGGAGTTTCAGCGCGAGAGCGCCCTCTGGCCTTCGGATGAAGATTCTATTTACATTATGTTAAAATAGCAGGATTTTTGGCTATTTATACTAATTGCAAACAGTGGCAATTATCTGCACCTCAGTATTGTAGTACACTATAAAACATTATGCAATAATAACGTATTAAGTAAAAATTATAATTTTTATTCAAATTATTAAATGGATGCCACCTTATTGGGACAATAAAGCCCTCCCTACACCTACCCTAACCCTACCTGATACTTTATTTTCAACCTTTTGATTATTTTTCTTAATTTTTATTGAAAATAAATGTCTTTCCGATAAGATATGAGATTTGAAAGGGAGTTCGGCAAAAGGCAGGTTCAAACCCGGGTCGATCGCGTCAAAAATACTGCAATACACGCTTTACCATCTAAGCCACTGGAGCTGACGTTTGACAGCCATCTTTTGTAGTATTGACTAGCCCAATCACACATTGGTGGGCGGAGGTAGAGTAAATAGCCTCTGTCAACAAGGCGGGCTATTTGCACTTTGTGTAAATAGTGTAAATAAGACAACCCGATAAAGATATGTATCGTAACTTAAATCTACAGACACAAACAGATAATGTGCAATAAAATAGACACTTAAAAGTGCATTTTGGATGTTTTCCTTCCACTAGTTTGAAACAACACCTTATTCAAAGCCAATAACCCAAAATTTCAAAAGTGACCAGTGCATGAAAACTTTTTTAGCTTGTAGTACCTTGCCTTAAAGTCTAAAACCTATTAAAGCTATGTTCCAGTCTTTTCACAAAAATACTTGAATTAGAGTGATTTGTGGTACCATAGGGAGTGTCAGTGTTCGTCATTGCCAGCACTACTGGGAGGTCGACTGCGCATTTGACTCCTCAGCTGCTCTATAAGCTCAGGATTCTGCTGCTGCATTTGCTGTGCAAACTGCTGACCACTGTGACAGAAAAACACTAGTTCAGCCCCACTGAATATAACTTAGAATTTCCTGTTAGGAAGTAGAATGAAACCTATGAAAATCACAGGATAGTGATGTTAAAACTTACGCCTGTATGAGGCTGGAGAGATCATTGGCACCACCACCTGCGCTTGCACCTGCACCTGCACCTGCACCTCCTGCTCCTGCTCCTGCTCCTGCTCCAGCTCCAGCTCCAGCTCCAGCTGTTGCTCCTGGCGAGGTGGCTCCCCCCATAGGACCGTAAGCCCCAGACATCATACCTGACATCCTACATGGGCACAGAAACAGCTGATATACATTTCTGCTAAGAACACAAAGTCTTACGTCAAGTTGGTACAACTGCCCCGAAATAGTGATGCATTGAAAATATCAGCAACCAAAAATATTCAGCCGAAATAGTTTAGGAGGGCCATTGCCATTTCTTGGCATAAAACCTGTGCATTTTAAATGATTGTAGAACTCAGTTTTTTATTTAAGTGTTGATTATTAAATACATAATTAATTAACTGATTATGAAGTACAATTTATTTTTAGTTTCAGTTCTCGGCCAAGTGCATCCTGAATATTCAGTTTTACGTTTTGGCCCAGAATTGTCATTTTGGTGCTTCACTAGAAAAAAGTGAGTTCTTGAAAAGAAAACGTTGTTAAATATTTATGATCATTTTTATGGTTTTTTTTTTTTGAAAAAAATCAGATTCACCCTTTATTAACACCTGAAAATCTTTGCCCTTTATACTGATGTAATGTGGTGTGACCCACAAAGTCGCATGGCCCAACTAAATTGCACAAAAACCTAAATATCATAGCAATATCATAGAGACGACTCCTGCAGACCATCATTATTGCATGTCAGGTTCAATCATTTTCTTAAATCAGGGCTCGATATTAAGCATTGTCACAAAAATGTACTGTTTTGGAATGTTTTTTTTTTTTTTTTTTTTAGGAGAAGATCCAATTTATTCCAAAGCAATATTCTCATCAGTGTTCTTCTGGGGCATTTTTTATATTTATTAGGGATGTAACAATATTATCAATATCATGATATCGCAATAGCAAATCTGTCTCGATATTATCATGGTCACATGAACTTCTTATTCTCACATAAAAGGTCTTGGGCCATTATGCTTTGGCACAGTATCTGTCAAACGAACTAAAACCGAAAGCACAATATGGCTTAATCCCTTCAAGTCTGTTTTCGCTACGCGTTTCAAAGCGAAGCACACACATTGTTGAGGCGATCAGCTCGTGGTCCTGTGTTTTCCGCACCTCAGAACGGTTTAGTTCACAGTGAATGAATGCAGTGAACTCGTTTATTTTTTTTTTTTTTTTTTTAGGAGAAGATCCAATTTATTCCAAAGCAATATTCTCATCAGTGTTCTTCTGGGGCATTTTTTATATTTATTAGGGATGTAACAATATTATCAATATCATGATATCGCAATAGCAAATCTGTCTCGATATTATCATGGTCACATGAACTTCTTATTCTCACATAAAAGGTCTTGGGCCATTATGCTTTGGCACAGTATCTGTCAAACGAACTAAAACCGAAAGCACAATATGGCTTAATCCCTTCAAGTCTGTTTTCGCTACGCGTTTCAAAGCGAAGCACACACATTGTTGAGGCGATCAGCTCGTGGTCCTGTGTTTTCCGCACCTCAGAACGGTTTAGTTCACAGTGAATGAATGCAGTGAACTCGTTTATTGCATGTGCTGTGATTTTAACGAGCGTTTAGGAACGCAACGGCCACCAGTTGGGGTTTATTTTCATGGCAGCATTTCACTAGATTTGTAGTGAGACACGTTTTTGTAAGCCTGTTTTCACTGAAGTTGGAGTTTTCTACTGCCGTTTCCATCAAAAAAGCTTAAAAGTGCAGTATGACTTGCTGACGATATTATCGTATCGTGAGATTTTGATATCGTTACATACCTAATCTTTATAATTGGCAATTTATTTCCTAAGCTTATTGAATATGAAATGATTTAAGTAGTAAACATCAAGTTCTTAAATTTCATCAGAAAAAATTAGAATAATAAGACATTATATGGCTATTACAAATCAATATCAGTATCTTTCCACTGCAGAGATGACGTAGTAGCTATAACAAAACTCATACAAGGGCATTTTTGCCTCCATATCTTAAATTTTGGGAGGTTTATCATTTTTGGCCCAAGCCCCACTTTTTGATGTTTACACCATATGACAACAACATTAAAGTTTTCAAAATCATATGAAATCATCATCATCACCTCATGTATAATGTGCATATTACGTGTATAATAAATGCTGTGCTTAAGATTTGTCTACTCACATTTGCTGCACTTGCGGGTTGTTCATTAAATTAGATGCCTAAAGAGAGTGACAGTGAGTTAGTGATGAGAATAAGCAAGCATTAATGATGAACATACAGATGTATTTCTACTGACCATGTTCATGAACCCAGGGTTACTCAGCAAACCGGCCAGGTCGACTCCACCCAAACCCCCTGCCTGACAAAGATAAACACATGGGCTTTAGCACAACCCTCTGTTTTCCACAGAGAGACGAAAACTATTATCGGGGTGGTTCTGTGAACTCACTGGGCTGGGCTGTCCCTCCATCTTCTGTTCTGCTATTTGCAGGTTGGCTTTGTAAGTGTCGTTGTCAGGGTCCAGCTCCAGCGCTTTCTTGTAGAAGCTCACAGCCTCTGAGTATTTGTTCAAACTTGCAAGAGCAAGCCTTGTTTTTAAGCAAAACATAAATGAAGAAGTAAATGTGACACCAAAATTCATTCATATCTGATCTGTTTTTAAAAACAAATTTAAGGATTTTTAAAACCTTAAGACCTACACAAATCAAAATTAATACAGTATGTCCTTTCTCAATCTTTTGCTTAATTAAACAGGCTGCAGCACATATTCAGTGAGGATTTAGTGTTGCTTTGAATTAAATGTCAGATACAGTTTGAGTGACCAAAATACCAATAACTAGAAAAAATAATGATGCACAATGCATGGTAACTCAGAAATACACTAGGAATCTTATTTTGAAATATCTATGCTTTCCTACTTCCAACTGATAATTAAAAGAGATGAGAAATATAACATGCATTTTTGCAAACATCTACAACATATTACAATATAAACACCATAAGGTAAACACTTCATAATGTATCAACAGGAGATGAATAAAAATAAATGCATGTTCTACAGGCTCGCGCTTGGGCAACAGGGCTGCATTTAGACTTTGAAATGTGCAGGGCACACACTTACTTAAGTCATAACGTTTTGAAATATATTAATTAATTATTAATAAATAAATAATAAATTATTATTAAATGAATTATTATAAATTATTTAATTATTAAATATATTAGACTGTATCATGATTATTGCTTTTCTAAATTTTATAAAGGTGAAGTCAAGACCTGTGGGAACCCTGAAGAGCAAAAAATTTTAAACAATTGGCCTCCAATAATTTATCTGTGCTCAACATTTTAGGGGGAAAAATAAAAACATTACAATTACCCCATACGCCCATATGCTTTACTGTAGTTTGGATCGATTCCAATGGCTCGTTCACAGTCTTGAACTGCTCCAGCATAGTTCCCCAGTTTGCTGTAGGCTGCAGCTCTAAAAATAATTTTTTTAAGTTATATTAATTTTCAAATAATAAAAACAATTCTCCAAGAAATAAAATTAAAAAATTAAAATACTTTAATCAATCATTCTTGGATAATACAAATACTACAGCATTAAATTTTTCTTTTTCGGATTTAATGAAACCGATGTGCATATACCTGTTGCAAAAGTAGACAGCATTTTGAGGATTAAGCTGGATGGCTTTAGAGTAGAACTCAACAGCTGCACTAAAGTTCTCTACCTTCATCTGATCGTTACCTGCAGATACAAACATGCAACACTTTGAGTGAGAAGACCATAGCAAGCACCCTGAAATGGTAAAGGTGTGACGGATGGTCTTACCGTCTGTTTTAAGATGCTCTGCCTCTGCTAACTGCTCCTCTGAAGGTGAACCACTGGATGAATTGGTCTTAACTTGAGGTGTCTGCAACATATAACAATGTCTTAGGGGAAGTCCATTCAACGCTATGAATAAACATTCCAAAACGACATGGTTTAGATCTGGGGATTTCAATCTTTTAAATGCCATGGACCACCAGATATGATCATCATCATGTGAGGGAACCCCATCCCAAAATTTCGAAGACTATCTATAGTTTCTTGCATAAAGACCCATTAGTTTAAAAATGTTTTAGCTTCAACTCATTACAGTACTGTACTTTAACTGTAGTGTATTTTTTATTTGAATAAAAAATTGTAATTATTTTTGTTTTTATCTACTTTTTACACTTTCTCTAAACATTTATCCAGACCCCATCACTCCCTTGCAGTCCCCTGGTGGTCCTCGGATCCCAGTTTGAAAACACCCGGTTTGGATGACACCCGTGAACAGCTTTTACCTGTTTGGTTGCAGAGGCAAATATCTCTGGCAGAGACTGACTGACTGCTAAACTCTGGTCCTCTACAGAGACGCCAAATGCCGTCTCCAGGCACTGGATGGCAACTAAATAAAAAAAACAAACAAACTAGGAATTAACAAACAATAGCATAACAGTGTCCAGCACTGATTCTAGCACTAAGGTTTTACCTTCTAAGCTTTCTTGAGCATCTGATGACAGACTCCCAGAAGACAGCTGATCATGGAGAAACTGGATGATGGAGAATGCGAGATGCTTTGTGTCTGCCATTCTGTCTTGAGGCTTAAACCTCACCAAATAAATATGTGAAGGAAACCTATGAAACAGGGATGTGTGTTATTATCATCACCAAAGACAACAATATAGAAAAACAGCATGATAATGGTTGGTAAATCAGAGAAACCTCAGTTTGGTAAGAATGATTTGGATTCGGAGCAGATTTCGAATGTTACAATGTATTTATTCCAGTTTTTACTGTTCTGGAGTTAATACTTTCACTAAACGCCCACAGTTATCAACTCAGTAACTTACACAAGATTTAAACGCGAAATAACAGCTTATGATAGACTTTTACAAATTAACGACTTTCAGATGTGTAACCATTGCCGAGGAGTGGTAACGCATAAATATGTTCACTAAGTCAAAACAGTTATTATCAAAGATGGAACATTCTAGCACAAACGAGCTGTTAGCTCAAGCTAACAGTTTCCATTGGTTTACAACGGGAGTGCTAATTATCTTAGCATTAGCTTCAATTTGCTCATGTGATTTAGAATAAATACAAAAGAGGATTTAACGAAGATTGAAAGTGAGCTAGCCGCCATTCACCGTTTTACTCTAAAAGCATTCAGGATGTTATCTGGTTCTACAGACTCTGAAAAAAAAAGTGTGTTTAATTCACACTCACCAGTTGTCTCCTCGCAAGGATCTCTAGCCAGTAGTGTGAGACGATTCATGTGCGCACGCGCCGTAACGCGGGTGACGTCACACGTTGGGTTAGCGCTCAACTCATGCAAACCAAATTTACAAAATATCTTCTTCTTCTTCTTCTTGAAATTTTATTGGCGGTTGACAAACATATCTCTGACATCTATAACAGCGGAGTGGGGGAGGAATATATGGCCTCACTGCATAGCTCATATATCCAATTTTGACTCTTTCTGGAAGCACTGAATCCTGAAACTCCAAAAGAAGTGATAAACTATCAACCCTTTCCCCATTCATTGTTTTTTTCAACCTTTTTATTGTACTCACTTCACCTCCAGAAATACTTTGTTTGAGCCTTTCTAGATCTTCTTCGATTGGAATGCCTGTTATCACTCCCTGTTTCATTTGTCTCTCACCCAACATCTTCCTTTCATTCACTTTTTTCTTGCAAACATGATCAATTTTTAGTGCTGTTTTTTTGTTCTTCTGTTTTACATATTACTAACAGGCTTCCATCTCTCAAAATCTTAGCCGTATCCACTTCTCCTAACTTTTTCTTCAACTCTCTAGACAATGCTATTGGACTTAGATTAACCTGTTCATCTTCCTTTCTGAATTTAAGAATTACTTTATATTCCTCTCTTACGACCTTTTTACGTACAACCCTATTATCTTCATCTGAGCTGTTTCCTTCTAATCCCCTTTTACTGGTTTGGCTATCTACCCAACTCCCTTCATTTCGCCCACTCTTTCTTTTTTCTTGTCCTTTCCTACTACTTATTAAATTCCAGTCATCTGACTCCATTTCATCTTCATCCATTACCCCAGAAATCATCTTAATCCAGTCACAAACCAGTTTATGTCAACCGCCGTAGACTCCAAACACGACGAAGTCGATCATGAACCCACGCGGAGCTTTAGCCGGCTAGCAGTGTCCCGAGGCGGGGATAAAACCATAGACATAATAAATCCAAAATATCTTCATGGAACATTATCTTTACTTAATATCCTAATGATTTTTGGCATAAAAGAAAAATTTATAATTCTGACCCTGCTACTTATGACTGCTTTTGTGCTCCAGGGTCACAAATTACTATGTGACTAGTACAGAAATGAGTGTGAAACTATACAGCAGTATTTTAAAATATTGCATTATTTACACTGATATGATGCAAACTGACAGACATCAATACTCTTTGCTGACGGCTGACATGGGCAAATTTGCTTCGTCTCTTCTTCTTCTTCTAATGGCGGTTGGCAATAATATATAATAATAATAATAATAATAATAAAAACCTTTTAAATTCTGTTAATTAAGCCAGTTATTATCAGATAATTTAATAAACTTTCATTGTTATGACCATTAAGTAGGCTATGTCTTTAATGCTAATTTCTATAGAACTTTGTTTCCTAATGTACTTTTGGCAGTGACATAATGTGTTCCACTGATTCCTCCTCTTGTCAATGATCACATATGCCAGTTGGATGTTTCCTTATTAGATGTAATGTTTTATTTAACCCTGTGTGTCCCATTCTCAATCGTGTAATTATACCTTCTATTTTGTCATTTCCTTTACAAACCCTCCTACTTCCTACTTTCTCCTGGATTCTACAGTATCCAAATGTACAGTAACCTGTTGGCAAATTTGCTTGTGTACATTCTGACATTATGTTATGAAACATAATGTGACAAGCTGCGACCATACAGAACTATAACTATAAGAAACCATACGGCCAAAAAAGAATTCGGTCACCCTCCCATTTCTCAGATGTAGGATTTATTTATTTGAAAAAAAATGTCATTAATGTAAAATGCTGAATATAGAAATATTCTATGTAAATGCAATTTTGTTGATAAATATGATTTACACTATATGAATTGATGAACTGTACACAGTTGTAACGAGGAGGCTGAAGCCGAGTGAGAATCCATATGCAGAAGTTTATTTAAAGGGCAATCCAGAAACAGCGTCAGAAAGGCAGTAGTCTAAACACAGTCAATCAGTCCAATCGGCAGCCAAAACAGAGGGAAAATCCAATAATCAGAAGTAGAATCAAACAGGCAAGAAGTCATACACAATATCAACAGGCAATGGTAATAGAATGCTCGGTAAGGCAGTGAGACTGGCAATACTTCGCAGAGAGTGTTTGGGCAAGCCATGCTTTATGGCTGCCAAACAGGAAGTCACCAACGAGGCAGCAGAGGGAGCGTGACAGTCAATACTCGGGCGAGGGCTCCCTCTGCTGGCCTGGCATTACAACAGTATGCAATTGTATGTAATTAATAAAAGGAATGTAGTAATAAAAGGCCTATAGGCCCTAATGAATAATGAACATGTTTGAATTATTAATAACTCCATGAATTATGTTCATCATTAAGGTAGAATAACACGTCGACATGATTTAGTTTATCGCCCATCCAATTTTTGGGGCATAGAGGAGAAACAATAATGTACAGTATGTGGAAAATAATGTGTTTTTTTTTACCTTAAACTGCATAAACACATTTCATTACACCAAATACACAAAATAATGTTCTTTTTAGCATCATCATATGACCGCTTTAAACAATCAGGAAATGTTAATTTTTGGGTGAACTATTCCTTTATGAGAGTGTGTGGTGAAGAAGGGGGCTATTGAGTTTTATATCAACCTTTTGTCATATCTGATGCCTATGATGAAGAACTGGTGTTTTCTTATGTTCATCTAATGCTTGAGTTTCCGAGTTGACTGAAGTCTCCAAAAATGAGTGCATGCGATGCTGCTGAAAGACTTGTAATCTTTTATCAGGTAGTTGCATTATAATCATTTACCATGTCATCTTTTAAGCTATATGTGTTGATATGGATTGCTCAAAAGTGAATGAGATTGATCATGAAGTCTTCTTTCCCAGATGAAAAAGACATATATTTAAATTGTGCTTTTTCAGACATACTTACTATATTTAAATTATACTATACTAAGTGCATATTAAATGTATTATTTTGAAACAACTTTAAGTATATTAAGTGTATTTCAAGATATGTTTAAGTTTGATTTTAATCTATTTGTAATGAATAGCTGTGTGTGTGCAAAGACTGAAGATGATAAAGTTCAAGCAACAGAATAGGTAGGGATGGCGGGGGTTTTGGAGGTGGACAAGGAAATGGCGTAGGGATGGTGAGAGGCAAAAGTGCGGGGATGATGGCAGAATTTCAGAAATATATATTAGAAAATAAAGGCGTCAAGCTTGAACAAATTTATAAACACCTAGCTTATTACAATTAATGTATCATGTAATGAACAACAGCCTAATCAACCAAAGTAGCATAACCTTTTAAGTAAAACTGAATAACATATTAAACAACATATTTTAAATATCGCAATGCTTAATAATAGTTGACAAACGTTTGTACATTGTAAATTTTAAAAATGTTTTTCAAAATATTGTACTTTTCCAAATATTAAAATTATAAATACATAAATATTTTAAATATAACCATGTGTAGGCCTACTGCAATATAAAGTACATTAAAAACCCACTAAAAGTGTAATCATTTTGTTATGTTCTTACACAAAGTAGACATAAAATATACTTTAAGTAAGGGTAACATAAGTATGTTTTCTGTAAATACACTATAAAGTCACTAAAAGTATGCCTGTGTTTAGTATATCCCTTAAAAGTGTAACTGAAAATATATTTATTAACCTAGTATTTCTACTATACTTTTTTTTATTGCCAAAGTATTTCTAGTATAACTTTTTATAAATACATTTAAAGTATGCTTCTGTTTAGCATATTTCTTAGAAGTATAACTAAGCATATATTTAATACGAAAGTACTTCTAGTATATTTTTTAGAAATATATTAAAATGCAGTTCAATATATTTTTATTGCACTTCAAATAAGCATGTTGGGAATACAAATGTATTATAAACATACTACTTGAATTTCAAGTATATTTTTAATACATTTAATACTACGTCTTTTTCACCTGGGTTCACTAGCTAATGAGTCAATGTTTGAATAATCACTTTAATAATTTAGTTTTCTCTGAGGCTGCGCATTATGCACAGAATGCTGACCTGTTTTATTTGTCAGAGCATCCCAGCAGTCAACAGTTGATTTCACATCTAAGAGGTGAACATAGTTACTATCCTGGCAGAGCTGCATGATTAATTGTTAAAAGATTGCAATCTCGATTCAGACATCCATACCATACCTTATTTTGTAAGGTGTGAATTCAACTTTATATTACACTGCAAAGGAGAATGCAAAAAATAAACAAGTGGTTAATATAAATTATTTTGTGCATTGGTGTTCATTTAACAGATTTTTCAGCATAGATCATTTGAGCCAATTGCCATTTAATTTTAAAAACTAATATTTATACTGGGTTCACTTTATTTTAAGGTGTCCTTGTTACAGTGTAATTATACATTTAAGTACTGACTAATATCAATGAACTACATGTACTTACTATATGGTTAGGGTTAGGATGAGGGTTTGGTTTAGGGTTACCTGCATGTAATTATATGCGTATTGTTATTATAATAGTAAGTACATGTAACATGTGTAACAAGGACACCTTAAATTAAAGTGTTACCTTATAACGTGCTAGAATATATTTATACTGTATCAGTATTGTAAAATGATTTAATTGGAGTCCACGAAAACAATATTTCTTAAAATAACTGCTCTTCTGAAAAGTGAGTGATAATGTTGTCATTTTTCTAACTATACAGACTTTTGGTTAAAAGGAATGGCTTAAGAAACATTTTCTGTTGTGTATTTATAAATTACTCCTCCATTAACACGCAAATCAACATAGTCCAAGCACTAACCATAGCCCTACAGTACAATAAACTCGGTACGTGTCAGTTTATAAAGGTAACACTAGACGGCAGCACAGTTTTATCTCTCATCAGAAATGTACAGCATAAATGTGGCTTATTTGATTCAATATGCGTAATTTATGGAGGTTATTTGTTTAGTCACAGTGAAAGATTTGTATAAAATAACTTGACTTATTATAATAATATATTGGATCACCAGTCCTTTTAAATCTGATGGCTTTATTTAATAGTGT